ATCAAAAACAAAAAAATCGTAAACCCTAAAAAATCATAAACACTCATAAATCATCATCAATCATCATAAACCCTCATAAACCCTAAACCCTCATAAACCCTCATAAACCCTCATAAACCCCCCAAACCCTCCTTAAACCCCCATAAACCCTCGTAAACCCTAATAAACCCTCGTAAACCCTAATAAACCCTCGTAAACCCTAATAAAACCTCGTAAACCCTAATAAACCCTTGAATGTACCTCTAGATCAATAAGCCTGGCGGTTTTATTACTAATAAGATGATATCTATGATGAGGAAGATAAGAAAGAGGACCTAATTGTGTATTCATTCCCCATTTAATAATCATATTGAATGCTATCCTTGTTGCTGCTGTTATGTCTGCTGCTGCACCTGTAGATACACCTGAATAACCATAACCTATTATCTCTGCTGCTCTTCCCCCCATGCATACACATAAACGGGCAAATAAGGCTGCATAAGATAAACCATAACGATCCTCTACTGGTAACTGCAGCAGCAACAGCAGCAGCAACAGTAGCAGCAGCAGCAGCAGCAACAGCAGCAGGGGCAGGGGAAGAGCAGCAAAAGGAACAGCATAACACACACAAACATAAAGAAAAAACAATTCATATAATAAACCCTAAACCCTCATAAGAAACCCTCGTAGACCCTCCTACACCCTCCTAAACCCTCGTAAACCCTAATAAACCCTCACACACCCGCGTAAACCCTCGTAAACCCTCGTAAACCTTAAACCCTAAACCCTAAACCCTACTTACTTGTTCAACAAGACCTAATGCATTTCCTCTACTAATAATAGTAGCTTTATGTATAGGGTCTGCATGGGGTTGTAGGAAGAAAGCAACAACTGCATGTCCTGCCTCATGTGTTGCTGTTTGTCTCTTAATAAAAGAAGAAAGAAGAAGAGAGGGTTTAGGGGGACCAAGGGCTAATTTATCACGAGCATCTATTAACTCTTTTATAGATAAATAAGATTTATCTGTATATATATATACACACATATACATAAATAAATAATTAACAATAAATAATAAACCCTTATTCACAATAAACCCTAAAAAAAAAGAATGAAAAAATAAACCCTAAACCCTAAAAAACCCGAAACCCTAAACCCTCATATACCCTCATAAACCCTAAACCCTTGTTGCCCCTTCATGCTCATAGGTGTCTAAACCCTAAACCCTTGTGTCCTTAATGCTCATTGTATCTAATAGTGTTGTGCAGGAGAGATAGGGTGTGACTTTAACTTTTGTGATAAATAATTAGGGTTTAGGGTTTAGGGTTTAGGGTTTAGGGTTTAGGGTTTACTGGATCGAACAGCTAGTATAGCTGCCTCATTAACAAGATTCTCTAATTCAGCACCAGAGAAGCCAGGGGTTAATTTAGCTAGCTGGCTAGCTACAGCTTTATGTATATCCTTGTCCCTGCTGCTGCTGCTGCTGCTGCTGTTGTCGTTGTTGTTGTTGCTGCTGCTGCTGCTGCTGTTGCTGCTGTTGCTGCTGAGAGGGGGGCTCAGAACGTTGTTTGTCCTGCTGCTGCTGCGACGTTTTCTATCGAGGGTTTGTGTTGTAGGGTTTAGGGTTTTCTTTTTATTGTCTCCTTTTGTGTCTCCTTTTATCTCTTTCCCTTCTTGCAAGGGTTTTGCTGCTGCTGCTGCTGTTCCTGCTGCTGCACCTCCTGTTGCACCTCCTGCTGCTGCTGTTGCTGTTACATTATTATCATCCTCTACCTCCTCCCCATCTGCTGCTGCTGCTGCAGCAGCAGCAGCAGCAGAGAGAGGAACTTTTTTTAGATAGTGCAGCAAGATTGCTTCTCTTGCTTTACGATCAGGTAAAGGAACATGAACTATTCTATCAAATCGACCTGAAACACAAACCCTAAACCCTAAACCCTAAACCCTAAACCCTAAACCCTAAACTGTAAAGCCTCGAGGACAGCACCAACAAAAAGAATATTATTACCAACAACAATAAACCCTAAACACTCAACAGTATACTCTAAACAATAAACCCTAAACCGCCGACCCCCGGAGGTTTCTTTGCGTACCAGGGATTGTGAATTAGGGTTTAGGGTTTAGGGTTTAGGGTTTTAATGTCTCCTCCTATACTTTTATGTATCCTCAATATTTATTGTAATTAAACATTCAATTTCCCTATAAATTGTTTTTTTTCAATTTTTAGGGTTTAGGGTTTTTTTAGGGTTTAGGGTTTAGGGTTTAGGGTTTAGGGTTTGCCTACCGGGTCTAAGAAGAGCTGGATCAAGAGCATCAATTCTATTTGTTGCAGCAAGGACGACTACATCTGCATGCGTTGTCTTGAATCCATCCATCTCTACAAGAAGTTGATTAAGGGTTTGCTCGTGCTCCCTACTACCTGTGGGGGCCCCCCCGGGGCCCCTCCTGTACCCTACTGCATCCAATTCATCTATAAATATTATTAACGGGGCCCCCCTTCTTGCTGCAGCAAATAACTCTCGTACCCTACGGGCCCCCTGACCAACATACACCTCAACAAATTCAGGACCAGAGGCGTATAACATAGGCACAGAGGCCTCTGCATACATATATACACACATATGTAAACCCTAAACCCTAAACCCTAAACCCTAGCTAACCCTATAAACCCTCGTAAACCCTAATAAACACTTGTAAACACTAATAAACACTAATAAACACTAATTATAACACTAATAAACACTACAGTATAATCTACATAGTTCTGTATACACATCAACCCTTTTCAACACCTAAACCCTAAACCCTAAACCCTAATAAACCCTAATAAACCCTAATAAACGCTAATAAACCCTAAGAAACCCTCCTCCCCTCTGATAAACCCTCGTAAACCCTCGTAAACCCTAATACCTGTAGCAACAGCCCTAGCAAGTGCCGTTTTGCCTGTGCCTGGGGGCCCCACAAGAAGAATACCCTTAGGGGGCCTCGCCCCTAACCTCCTAAATCGATTAGGGTTTCGTAAACATAAGACTGCCTCCTCTAATTCTTGCTTAGCCTCCTCTAGGCCTACAATAAGGAGACAGCAATAAGGAGACACAAAAAAGGAGACAAAAAAAGGAGACAAAAAAGGAGAAATAGGGGCCAATAAGGAGACACAAAAGGACACAAAGGGGCCAATAAGGAGACACAAAAAAGGAGACAAAAAAAGGAGACAAAGGGGCCAATAAGGAGACACAAAAAAGGAGACACAAAAAAGGAGACAAAAAAAGGAGACAAAGGGGCCAATAAGGAGACACAAAAGGAGACAAAGGGGCCAATAAGGAGACACAAAAAAGGAGACAAAAAAGGAGACAAAGGGGCCAATAAGGAGACACAAAAGGAGACAAAGGGGCCAATAAGGAGACAAGAAAGGAGACAGGGAAGGAGACAGGGGGGAATAAGGAGACAGGGAAGGAGACAGGGAGTAAGGAGACAGACAGGCAAGGAGACAAAAAGGAGACAGGGAATAAGGAGACAGGCAATAAGGAGACAGGAGACAGGGAAGGAGACAAAAAAAGGAGACAGGTAAGGAGACAGGAGAGGAGACAGGGAATAAGGAGACAGGAGAGGAGACAGGGAAGGAGACAGGAGACCGGGTATAAACACATAAAGGGACAGACATAGACACATCAGCAGCAGCAACAACAGCAACAGCAGCAGCAGCAGCAACAGCAGCAGCAGCAGCAGCAGCAGCAGCAGCAGACCTGCAAGTTCGCTGAATCGAATAGGTTTAAATATTTGTGGCCTCACGGCTGGACGATCTGCTTGCTGCTCTACAACACCTGCAGCAGCAGCAGCAGCGGCAGCAGCAGCAGCAGTAATTTATTATTATTATTATTATTTATTAGTTATTATCTATTATTTATTATTTATTATTTATGTGTCTCCTTTTATCTCTTCCTTTTCGTGTTGTCTCCTTTATTATATATAGTGTCTCCTTCTTAATAAAAAAAGGGGCCCCTTTTCTTACCATTATGTTTGGGGGGCCCCCTTGAGGGCCCTCCTAGGGGCCCCCCAAGGGGGCCCCCTGGAGGCCCCTGGGGGGGCCCCCTAAATGTATCATGATGATTATCATCATTTAATTGACCAATTAAATTAAATGTTAATAAAGAGACAATAAATGGCCAAATAGATAGACCTATACATATACCCAATAAGAAGGCTAGTAGCCATTTACTTTTGCTGCTGCTGCTGCTGCTGCTGTTGCTGCTGCTGTTGCTGCGGCTGCTGCGGTTGTGGGTATGGGTATGAGAGGGGCCCCCACGTGATGAACCACGAGATGTTACACGAGGTTGGGGGCCCCTTATTGATGATACCTCACCATTGCATGCAGCAGGGGGGGCCCCCAAGGGCCCCTGCACAGCTGCTGCAGACATTAACGCTGCTGCTGCTGCTGCTGTTGCTGCTGCTGCTGATGGGCTTACGCGGGAAACGTTCCCGCTGCTGGTGCTGCTAATTCTACTTGTCTTGCTGTTGTTGTTCCTGCTGCTGTATGTGTCGCTGCTGCTGCTGCTGCTGTTACTACTGCGTCGCTGCTGCTGCGATTGGGGGGCCCCAGGGGCCCCTTGAAGGTATAGACAGGGGCCCCCAGATCAAATAAGACAACAAAGAGGTAAAAAATACAATAAATAAGAAAGGCAATAAACATGTACGTATAAATAACACATGTTGTTGTTGCTGCTGCTGCTGCTGCAGCAGCAGGACGCAGGGGACCCCCGATACCCCACTGATGCTCCTGGGGGGGGCCCCTGGGGGGCCCCCGGGGGGGCCCCCCTTTGTTAAGGAAAAAATAAATAATATTTATTAACTGTTAAGAAATTACTATTTAATAATAAACCCTTAACCCTAGACAATAAACCATAAACCCTAAACCCTAAACCCTAAACCCTAGCCAGCCCCTGTGTCGAGTGTCCCTGTGGCTGCCGAGGGTTTAGGGTTTAGGGTTTAGGGTTTGGCGTACAGGGTTTATACAACATTTTAAATAATTATTTTGTTTTAATATTAGAGGGATTATTTTTCATACCCCTTGATAATAGGGTTTAGGGTTTAGGGTTTAGGGTTTAGGGTTTAGGGTTTAGTGTGTACCTGTCGTGTGCGTCGCTGTCTGCTGCAGCAAAAGCAACAACCGTAGCAGCAGCAGCAGCAACAGCAGCAGCAGCAGCGGCATTAATAGCCTCTGCCGCGAGTAATTTACATATCAATGACTAACTCTAGGATTTTAGTGTTTAGGGTTTAGGGTTTAGGGTTTAGGGTTTAGGGTTTAGATATTCCTTTAAGGTAGACACTGGTTCTCTATCATTTGTTAATGCAGCATCAGCAGCAACAACAGCAGCAGCAGCAACAGCAGCAAGAAGAGCAGCAACAACAACAGCAGCAGCAGCAACAGCAGCAGCAACAGCAAGAGGGTAGATGCGCATGCGCTTACCAATGGCAGCAGCAGCGGCTGCTGCTGCTGCCCCAGCAGCAGGAAGCAGAACCTGTTGCTGTTTCTGTTGCTGCTGCTGCTGCGAAGGGACAGCAGCAGCAACAGAAACAGCAGCAGCACGATGACCAGCAGCAACAACAGCAGCAACAGCAGCAGCAGAGCCTGTTGTCTTTGCTGCTGCCTGATTGCTGCAGCATGAGCTGCTGCTCCTTATATATATCATGGGGGGCCCTCAAGGGGCAGGTACCTCAGGGCGGGCCCTGCTGCGCTGCAGCAGCAGCAGCAGGAGCATGGAATGCATGCAGAGGGTATAAGGCAGGAGATCCAGGTGCTGCTGCAACTGCTGACGTGCTGCTGCTGATGCTGCAGCAGCAGCAGCAAAAAACAGCAGCAGCACGAGATCGGCTACTGCTGTCATTAAGAATGACGCCTGCAGCAGCAACAAGGCAGCAGCTCATTTCTTTAGAGTTGCTGCTGCAGCAGCAGCTGCAGCAGCTGCTGCTGCAGCATGGCTTATCATCTGCTAAACAGCAGCACGAGCAGCAGCAGCAGCAACAGCAGCAGCAGCAGCAAGAAACAGATTCGGATGTACCCTCACCGCAGCAGAGTGATAACCCTCTTGAGGGGCCCCCAACAGCAGCAGCAGCAGATCAAGGGGGGCCCACAACACAAGCAGCAGCAGCAGATCTAGGGGAGCCCCCAAATGCAGCAGCAGCAGATCAAGGGGGGCCCCCAACAGCAGCAGGTGATCAGGGGCCCCCCTACCTCTCTTTGCTGCTGCAGCAGTTGTGCAACCCCACCTTTGTTAATAACAATAACACACAAGAGGGGCCCCCTGCTGCTGCTGCTGCACCTGCTGCTGCTGCATCTGCTCCTGCTGCATCTGCTGCTGCTGCTGCAGGGGTTGCTGATACGGCTGCTGCTGCTGAGGGAGGTGCTGGTGCACCTGCTGTTGCTGCTGCAACAGACGCAGCAGCATCAGCAGCAACAGACGCAGCAGCAACAGCAGCAGCAACAGCAGCAGGGGAAGGTATAGTGTCTCTATCTACTTATGTCTCCTCTGCAGCAACAGCAGCAGCAAGGCGCCGTCGTCTGCGGCTGCTGCAGCAATTCCTTATCCGTCTGCTGCTCCTTAGGTCTCTTCTTGCTGCTGCTGCTGCTGCTGCTGCTGTTCCTATAGAGCCCCAAGACACAGAGGGCCCCCCAGATAAAGGGGGGGCCCCAGATAGCGAGGGGCCCCCACAATGCCAAGGCCCCTATGGGGGCCCCAAGGGGGCCCCCACTCAAACAAACAACGAAGAGGGTCGCCTACAAGTACCCTTGGGGGGCCCCCAAGTACCCTCTAGAGGGGCCCCTGGGGGCCCCTGTGGCACCACAGGGGCCCCTGAGACACAGAGACAAGCAATAGACATAAACAATGATTCTGTGCAGCAAGGGCTGCTGCAGCAGTTGCTGCCGCAGCAGCTACTGCAGCAACAGCTGCTGCTGCAGCGGCAGCAGCTGCTGCAGGGGGGCCCGTTGCTCGCTGGCACTGCGCTGCAGCGGGGCCTTAATATAGAGAAGCAAATAGAAGGCCAGCAGCAGCAACAACAACAGCAGCAGCACCAGCAGCAGCACCAGCAGCACGCAGATTTCTTGTTGCTGCTGACCCCACAGCAACAGCAACAGCAAGAGCAGGAGCAGGAGCAGCAACAGCAACAGGAGCAGCAGCAGCCTGAATCACCGCTACAGCGGAAGCAGCAGCTGCTGGCGTCGCAGCACAACGAAGGTCAGGGGACAGCTCCTCCGCCTCCGCTGCTGCAGCAAAGGCGCAGACTGCAGCTGCAGCAGCAGCAGCAGCAACAACAGCCGCAGAAGCAGAAGCAGCAGCACCGCTCGCCGCAGCAGCAGGAGCTGCTGCGTCTGTTTATGTCTCCTGCTGTAGAATCTGCTGCAGGGGATTGGCTGTATTCTATTTGCTGCTGCTTGCTGCTGCTGCAGCAGCGGCCATCAACTGCAGCACAAGGGAATGCTAATGTGCTGCAGGCAGTGAGGCAGCTAGACAGACGGTGGCTGCAGCAGCAGCAGCAACTACAGCAGCAGCAGCAGCAGCAGCAGCAGCAGCAAGGAGACAATTGCAGCGTCGTTGCTGCTGGCAACAACAGCATTGACAGCAGAGACACATCCGTCAGCTACAACAGCAGCAACGAGGATACCTGCAGCAGCAGCAGCAGCAGCAGCAGCAGTACCGGAGCTAAATGCAGCAGCAGCAACCGCAGCAGCAGCAGTGCTGTTGAGCTGCTGCCGCTAGAGGTTGGATATCTCTTTGGGGGCCCCCCACGGTCTCCTTTTAAGTGTCTATACCCTCGAAGAGCAGCAGCAGCAGCAGCAACAGCAGCAACAGCAGCAGCAACAGCAACAGCAGCAACGGCAGCAGCAACAGCAGCAGCAGCACCAGCTGTAGCAACAACAACAGCAACAACGACCGAGTCAGAAGCAGCAACAGCAGCAGCATCGGATGCTGCAGCAGAAGAAACAGCAGCAACTGCTGCACGCTGCAGCAACACGGTGACAGCAACTGCAGCAGCAGCAGCACCAACAACAGCAACACAGACAGCAGCAGCAGAGAAACCACAAACAGCAGCAGCAGCAGCAGCAGCAGCAGCAACTACTGCAGCAACTGCAGCAGCAGCTGAAGTCCCTGCAGCACCCCGAGAAGAAACGACCATCAAAACAGCACCTACTGCAGCAGGAACTACATCAGCAGCACCAACTGCAGCAGCAGCAGCAACAACAAATTCAGCAGCAGCATCAGCAACAACTGCAGCAGCAGCAGCAGCAGCAGCAGCAGAAGACGAAGAGAAATGGCAGCAAATAGTAGATATATTAATGTCTAATAAAAGTTGTCTTATCTATCATGGCCCTAATCATTATGCTCTTGTCTTTGCTGCTAGGGAATACAGGACTTGCTGCTGCTGCTGCTGCTGCAGCAGCAGCAGCAACAACAACAACAACAACAACGGCTGCTGCTGCACCAAGAACAGTAAAGGGAAGGAAGAACAGCAGCAGCAGCAGCAACAGCAGCAGCAGCAGCAGGAAGAGGAGGTACAGGCGAACTCGACGCCGTCTTCTAGGGCATCTAACGACAGCAGCAACAGCAGCAGCAGCAGCAGCAACAGCAGCAACAGGTACTGCAGCAAGTGCAGCAAACAGTTATCTGTACACCGTGAGTTGCTGACAGCAAGAAGGAAGCAAAACCCTTCCTCATGGATTTCTTTTTCTTCTCTTTCTTTGCAGATGCAGCAATGGAGAGGATATACACTCCTCTATTTCCTAAACCCTAAACCCTAAACCCTTGTTGCAGCAGCAGCAGCAGCAGCAGAAGCAGCAGAGGATGGCGCAATGTAGGGGAAGAGCGAAGCGATAAAGCTCTTTCCTAGGGTTTAGGGTTTAGGGTTTAGGGTTTGGGTTTAGCGATTTGTGGGGTTTGAAGGGCAGAAACCACAAACCCTAAACCCTCGCAGCAGCCAGTCAGGTTTGAGGGTTTAGGGTTTAGGGTCTAGGGTTTGGGAGGGAGGATTCAAGTCATCCGCCTCTTCCCCATGCATCATATTATAACCGAAGCAGCTGCTGCTGCCTCAGCAGCAGAAGCAGCAGCAGCAGCAGCGGCAGTAGCAGCAGCAACAGCAACAGCAGCAGCAGCAGCAGCAGCAGCTCTTGGTATTTTCTTGTTTCTTTGTCTTGTTTATGACGGTAACAATTGTCTCTTTATTCTCGGGGTTCTCCTAAATTCATATATCAACTTTATTCACACAATACTTTAGTGTTTAGGGTTTAGGGTTTAGGGTTTAGGGTTTAGGGTTTAGGGTTTAGGGTTTAGGGCTTGCCCGTGAGAATGTCGAACTCGCGACGGCGAGATTGATAACGACTTTCTAGTTTCCTCTGAGTAACAGAAAGGCAACAAAGAACCTTTTTTAAGGTCTAGGGTTTAGGGTTTATGGTCTAGGATATCTAGGGTTTAGGGTGTAGGGTTTACTAGGATTTATTGGGGTTTAGGGTTTAGGGTTACGGCCTTCTCTTCTGCTGCCTCTGTTAACTGTCTCGTCCTTTCGCAGTCAAGAGAAGCGCCAGATATCAGGTCCCAAGGATATCTGCAGACAAATTTATTAGGGTTTAGGGTTGAGGGTTTAGGGTTTGGGGTTTCCCAGGGTTTAGGGGTCTGGTTTCCTAGGGTTTAGGGTTTGGGGGTTAGGGGTCCAGCACGGCACTTGCAAAAGGACGGGTATCCATCGTCTAGTGGTATAGTAGAGTTACCAACGAGGGTTTAGGGTTTAGGGATTAGTATTTAGGGTTTAGGGTTTAGGATCTAGGGTTTAGGGTTTAGGGTTTAGGGTTTAGAGGACCCGCGAGCATGCAGTCTGTGTGCTTCAATTCTTCTTTGTTCTCTCTGAGCACAAATTCAATTCTTCGTCATTAAACCCTAAACCCTAAACCCTACCATCTGCCGTATGGATCTAGGGTTTAGGGTCTAGGGTTTAGGGTTTGGAGGCGCGAAAGGTGCAGGTGCTCCTCCTTGCAAACCCTCGTAGCCACAGCTAGCCACATCTAGCCACAGCTAGCCACAGCTAGCCACAGCTAGCTAGCTACAGCTAGCTAGCTACAGCTAGCCACAGCTAGCTACGGCTAACTCGCCTGTTCTTCGCGCAGTCTTTGTTGCTCCCTTAGCTCTTCCCTCTCCTTTATCTTCTTGCTGTATACAGTCGCAAACCCTAAACCCTAAACCCTAAACCCTAGTTGTACGTGCCCTCTAACTAGCTAGCTGAACAGCTACCTACCCAGCTAGCTAAATAACTAGCTGAATAGCTATGTGCCTTATAGCTTGGCAGATATACGTAGCTAGCTAGCTAGCTAGCCAGTTAGTTAGCTAGCTAGCTAGCTAGCTAATTAGCTATCTAGCTAGCTAGCTCACCATCTAGCTGCCTGGAAGGCTTGTTGCATTTCTCTTTTTTTTTGTCTTTCTTCTTCTGCAAGACTTTTGTCAGTTTGTTTAGGAAGAAACATCGAGGCATCTGCACAATAAAGGGTTTAGGGTTTAGGGTTTAGGGTTTAGGGTTTAGGGTTTGTAGAGGATACAATGAAGACGAGCCAAGACGAGGAGGAAAGACGCTAATCATATAGAGGTCGTTGTTGTATATTTAGGGGTTTAGGGTTTAGGGTTTAGGGTTTGCTGTGGGCTACTTGTTTGGTAAGAGATGAGGGTTTATCTGATTGTACAAACCCGGATAAACAACGCCTTCTTTGAGGGTTTAGGTAAGGGTTTAGGGTTTAGGGTTTAGGAATTAGGGTTTAGGGTTTAGGAATCTTTTTAGGGAGCATCAAGGGTTTCCATAGAGAGGGTTATAAAAGAAACTGTTGGGGTCTAGATGGGTCCTATAAAAACCCTTATTTAGGGTTTAGGGTTTATTAGGGTTTAGGGTTTAGGGTTTACTAGGGTCTGCTTCTAGCTGCATAGACTCAATACGAATAAATTTTTCTCTTCTTTCTCTTAGTCGTTGTTTCTCCAACTTCTCCCTATCGGGGAGAACCCTGAAATTATAATTGGTGATCATTGCTTGAGGGTTTAGGGTTTAGGGTTTAGGGTTTAGGGGATTTTTTAACTCCTTCCTTGAGGAAGGACGGAAAAGAAAAAAGAAGAAAAAGAAGAAAGAAAAAGATAGATTTAATACACAGAATATATTAAAGGGTTTAGGGTTTAGGGTTTAGGGTTTAAAGATTAGGGTTTAGGGTTTAGGGCTGCTCGCGGGGGGCTTGACCGGAGTTCTCGAGTGACCCGCTCTAGGGTTTAGGGTTTATTAGGGTTTAGGGTTTATTAGGGTTTAGGGTTTATTAGGGTTTAGGGTTAATTATTAATTTTATTTTTTTTTTATTTTTTATAAATATATTTAATTAAATTATTTTTAGGGTTTAGGGTTTAGGGTTACTAAAGGGTTTCCTTATCATGATGGGGTGTATATGCAGCTCTCTCTATATAATTAATTATTTAGGGTTAGGGTTAGGGAGGGTTTAGGGTTTAGGGTTTAGGGTTTGCAGATGACGATAGACAGATCCTTTTTTATTATTTCTTTATTAATATATTATATATATATTTTTTATTTATATTATTCTTTATATTTACCTTTTTTATTTATTTATTTATTTATATTTATTTATTTATTTATTTATTATTTATTATTAGTCTTATTTATCTAGCTAGTACAAATGCTTTGATGTCTTGCGAAAGGCTAAACCCTAAACCCTAAACCCTAAACCCTAAACCCTAGAAGTAGGGTAGCTCTATGTTCTTTGTGTTTACAAGGGTTTAGGGTCTACGCCCCTTAGGAGTAACAGTAATACCATTTGCTGTATAAAGGGGACAATAAATAAATAAATAAATAAATAAATAAATAAATTAATTAATTAATTAATTAATTAATTAACTATATTTATTTATATACACTTTGTCTCCTTTTTGTCTCCCCTTTGTTTCCTTCCTGCCTCTTATCGCTGTCTTATCTGTTTAGCCAAACCCTAAACCCTAAACCCTAAACCCTAAATTCTAAACCCTAAACCCTAAACCCTAAACCCTAAACCCTAAACCCTAGAAGAGAGGGACAAAGAAATTGTAAAAAGAAAAAGTGTCTCCTTTTTTATTTGTATCTAAACATCTCTCCCTGCATGCACCTCCCTGTCTCCCTTACGTACAGGCAGTGCCTGCTGCTGCTGCTGCTGCTGCTGCTGCTGATCCTGCTGCTGCTGCAGCAGCTGCTGCTGCACACGGGAGAGCCGCGCCAGGACCCCCTGACTACGGGGTGCTTGGGGGCTGCTTCCGTCGCTTGCTGCTGCTGCTGCTGCTGCTGCTGCAGTTGCTGCTGCTGCTGCTGCAGTTGCTGTTGATTTTGCGGACGCTGCTTCTGTTGCTGCTGCTGTTGCTGGTGTTGCTGCTGCAGAAGTTCCTGCTGCTGCAGTCGTGGTTCCTGCTGCTGCTGCATCTGCTGCTGCAACAGGTACACCTGTAGTTGTTGCTGCTGCAGCAGCAGCAGCTGCTGCTGCCGCCTGCGCTGCCCTCAGTTCAATATACCCCTTCTCCTGTTGCTTCTGCAGCAGCAGCTTCTGCTGCTCCTGCTCTTGCTGCTGCTGCTGCTGCTGCTGCAGGTTTGCTGCTTGCTTCTCCCCTGATTCATCATCTATCTGTGGGCCTAAGCCAACAGCAACGGGCTGTATAGGCAGCGAAGACAGCAAGGGCTTGCTGCTAATCTGCTGCTGCTGCTGCTGCTGCTGAGGCTGCTGCTGCTGAGGCTGCTGCAGGCGCACAGAAGGTGACGAATAGCCAGATGGTAAATGCTTCTGCTGCTGCTGCTGCTGCTGTTGCTGCTGCTGCTGTTGCTGCGGTATGTTGCGGTCATCTACACGACGGGATTTCCTCTGCTGCTGCTGCTGCTGCAGCTGCAGCAGCCCGTCTGCTGCAGCAGTAGGAGCAGCTCTTATGTCTCTCCCCTCTTGCTGCTGCTGCAGCTGCTGCTGCTGCTGCTGCTGCTCCTGGGGGGCAAAATCCTCTGCTGCTGGTCTTACAGCAGCAAGCCATCGCCATAGAAGATACACCCAAGACAGCAGCAGCAAAGTTAATACTGCAACAACTACGCGACCCTGCAGCAACAGCAGCAGCAGCAGCAGCAGCAGCAACAGCAGCAGCAGCAGATGTAGCAACAGCAGCAGCAACAATTATGTCGTGTACATAGAGGCTGGCTTTCCATGACCCTCAGGATTACAAGAGAATTCAAGGGTTTAGGGTTTAGGGTTTAGGGTTTGCAAGGTAGGTCCGTGTGAGGGTTTAGAGGAAGGAGAGGGTTTAGGGTTTAGGGTTTAGGGTTTAGGGTTTATATTCTTACAACTTTGCTGAGTCTTCTTCTTCCTCTTCCTCTTTTCTTTGGTGTTCCTATAAGACCATCTCTAGCAGCAAATCTCCCGTTGTTGCTGCTGCTGCTGCTGCCGTTGCTGCTGCTGCTGCTGTACAGACGGCGGGAGTCTGCTGCCCACCCATGCTGAGCTGCTTGGTGCCACAGGGTGCCCGTCACCATTGCTGCTGCTGCTGCTGCTGCTGCTGCTGCTGTTGCTGCTGCTGCTGCTGCTGTTGCTGCTGTTGCTGCTGCTGCTGTTGCTGCTGCTGCTGCTGCTGCTGTTCCTCCTGAGGGGTCTTATAGTAGGAGGCCCCAAGGAGAGCCCACGCTACTGTGGGCTCATGGCATTCAAAACCCTAAACCCTAAACCCTAAACCCTAAACCCTAAGGGGGAAGCCAATTAAGGGAAAATACGGTGCCCCTGTAGGACTGAATCCTTCCTTTTAGGGTTTAGGGTTTAGGGTTTACAAATTAGGGTTTAGGGTTTCTCCAGAGGTATTAAAAAGGGACAAAAGAGATTTTATCTTTGCTGGATCTAATCTTGATCCTAGGGTTTAGGGTTTAGGGTTTAGGGTATATTGTTCTGTTGGAGTTGCCGTATGGTTTAGGGTTTAGGGTTTAGGGTTTAGCGACAACCTGAGGCTGAAGGTTTTAATGGCCTCTTAATAGAAAAATAAATCTATTAATTAGGGTTTAATTCTTATTAAATCCCTCAATTAGGGTTTAGGGTTTAGGGTTTAGGGTTTAGGGAGTAGTCGAGCACCCGCTACCGCCAGGGGGCCCCTAGCGAGACACAGCCCCAATGTAGGTTTAGGAGGGTTTAGGGTTTAGGGTTTAGGGTTTAGACTTTAGGGTTTAGTGTTTAGGGTTTAGGGTTTAGGGTTTAGGCTTTGTTGTTATTGCTGCCCCCTAACAGAGAACAGCCCCTAAACCCTAACCCTCAACTCTATGCTGTCTAGAGCCCAGTCGTAAGCGCTAAACCCTAAACCCTAAACCCTAAACCCTAAACCCTAAACCTTCTAGGTTTATGGGTATTTTGTCTGCTGACGAGTCATTTACAGACCCTTCTAATTGTGGGTTTAGGGTTTAGGGTTTAGGGTTTAGGGTTTGCAGACACAAAAGGCAATAGAGCCAATAATCTGCTGCTGCTGCTGTTGCTGCTGCTGTTGCTACTGCTGCTGCTGGTGGTTCTCCTAGGGTTTCTCTTGCTTCTGCTGCTGAGGCAGGTGCTGCTCTTGCTGCTGCTGCTGCTACTACTACTACTGCTGCTGCTATTGCTGCTGCTGCTGCTGTTGCTGCTGCTGCTGGTCACTAGAGTTATGGTCTTAGAGGGACAATAAAGGAAACACAAGAGTACCAAACCCTACATATCTATCCTCTAGGGTTTAGGGTTTAGGGTTTAGGGTTTAGGGTATCGGGGTATCCTGTAGGGTTGCGTGGCACCTCTCGCCTAGCCCGTCCTTTAAACTAGGGTTTAGGGTTTGGGGTTTAGGTACTAGGGTTTAGGGTTTAGGGTTTGCAGTCACAAGAGACAATAGGAACAGTAGTCTGCAGCTGCTACTGCTGCTGCTGCTACTGCTGCTGCTGCTGCTGCTGCTGCTGCTGCTGCTGCTGCTGTTTTCCTTTTAATGCAAATAGCATTATATATAGACACAAAAAAGACACAAAAAGGGGGCAAAAAGGGCACAAAAAAGACACAAGAAAAAAAGACAAAAAAGGAGACAAAAAAGGAGACAAGAAAGGAGACAAAAAGGAGACAAAAAAGGAGACAAAAAAGGAGACAAAAAGGAGACAAAAAGGGGACAAAAAAGAAAAAAAAAATAAAACAAAAAAAAAAACGTATTATTTAATTAGAGTCCCTTTGCTAGCTAGCTAAATAAAATAACAGCTAGCTAGCTAGGGGCTATTTAGCTAGCTAGCTAGCTAGCTAGCTAGTTGCTATTTAGCTAGCTAGCTAGATGCAGCTAGCTGCAGCTAGCTAGCTATAGGGATTCAAAAACAATTCAGCTCCTGCCCAAGCTCCAATCTAGCTAGCTAGGTAGCTAGCTAGCTAGCTAGCTAGTCAGTTACCCTGCTAGCCAGCTAGCTATAGACAGCAGCTAGCTGTATAGACGACGGCTAGCAAGCCAGATAGCTAGGCAGCTAGCTAGCTAGCTGCCTAGCTAGCTAGCTAGCTAGGTAGCTAGCTAGCTATTTATTTTTAGGAAGAAAAAGTATCAACAAGTTGATTAAAAGAAAGAAAAGAAGAAGAAGGAGAAAAAGAAGAAGAAGAAAAAGAAGAAGAAGAAGAAAAAGAAGAAGAAAAAGAAGAAGAATTAAATAAGAAAGAAAAGTTATTAATTATCTTTTTTTTATCAATAAAATAACCAAAGAAAGAAAGAAAAGAAGAAAATATATCTATTGATATATTTCCTTCCTTATCCCTATACATAAATAAATAAATAAATAAATAAATAAATAAATAAATAAATAAATTTGTTAAGTAAGCAGCAAGAGCAGCAGCAGCAGCAGCAGCAGCAGCAGCAGTAGGAGTAGGAGTAATAGCAGCAGCAGGACAGCAGCAGCAGCAACAGCAACAGCATTAGTAACAGCAAAAATAACAGCAGCAATATTTGCAGCAGCAGCAGCAGCAACAGCAACAGCAGCAACAGCAACAGCAGCAGCAGCAGCAGCAGCAGCAGCAGGAGCTTACATGGCGAATTGTTGCATAGCAGCATAAATATTAATTTCTTTAAATAATTCTTTTATTATATTTATCTTTTGTTCTGTCTATACACCACAACATAACACATCTTGCTGCTGCTGCTGTTGCTGCTGCTGCTGCTGCTGTTGCTGCTGTTGCTGCTGCTACTGTTACGGCTGCTGATGATGATGATAGTGTTGATGGGTTGGATGGAGAAAAGGAAGACAGAAGGGTTTAGGGGTTTAGGGTTTAGGGTTTGGGAGGGTTGACGATCTGAGATTTTTTAGGGTTTAGGGTTTAGGGTTTAGGGTTTAGGGTTTAGGGTTTACCTCAATAGCGAGTTCGAATATTTCTGCTAATAAATGTAAAACCCTAAAACTTGGGGGTTTAGAGGAATTAGGGTTTAGCATTAAGTGTTTAGATATAGGGTTTGTATAAGGTAATAAAAAATGACAAAATGCCATAAAACTAAACCTATACACATAACAAACACTCAATTAGGGTTTAGGGTTTAGGGTTTAGGGTTTAGGGGTTTTAGAGGTTAGCATTTATTGGTTAGAGTGGGTCTAGAATTCATAGAGGTTTAGGGTTTAGGGTCTAGGACATTGAGAGGATTAGGGTTTATGGATTTATTATCTATTTATGTTTCTACCGGATTAGGGTTTAGGGTTTAGGGTTTAGGGTTTAGGGTTTACTGTCCATCTTTAGTATATCTTTTGAGTACATTTCTTATAAGTTGTAAATCGCCATTTCTTCCGTTTTGTTGCAAAAATCTTTTTATATCTTGAGGAGACACAAACCCTAAACCCTTATTATCTAATAAACCCCAGGCAGACCATAAGTTAAACCCTCGCCTAATAATAACATACACTTATAAACATATTAGGGTTTAGGGTTTAGGGTTTAGGGTTTAGGGTTTTTTTTTTTAGCGAAAAAAAATTCTACGATTGAGCGCAGAAATCTGTCTACAAACAATTTTAGCCTTTTAGGGTTTAGGGTTTAGGGTTTAGGGTTTAGGGTTTAGGGTTTATATACGTATAAGCTAGATCTTTTTTTGCTTCCTCTAATTCTCTTAATACAGCAAAAAGAAGATCAAAGGAAGCAGCGAGGGTTTGTGGAGAAAAGTGTCTTCTTTTATTGGATAAAGGAAGGAAAAAAGAAGAAGAAAAAGGAGGAAAAAAAGAATAATTATATTTATTATTATTATTATTATTATTATTGTTGCTGCTGCTGTTGCAAAAACCACCAACGAACTCCCTCATAAGGTCCTCAGCCTGCACCCATAAAAAAAAAAAGGGCTTAGGGTTTAGGGTTTAGGGTTTAGGGTTTAGGGTTTGGAGAGAAACTTTAGTAGACAGAAGGAAAAAGAGCAACAGAAAGAAGCAGAAAAAAAAAAAAAAATATAAAATAAGAATAAAGGGAGACAGATAAAGGAGACAAAAAAGGGAGACAAAAAAGGAGACAAAAAGGGAGACAAAAAGGAGGAAAAAAGGAAACAAAAAAAGGAGAGAAAAAGGAGGAAAAAAGGAGACAAAAAAAGGAGACAAAAAAAGGAGACAAAAAAAGGAGACAAAAAAGGAGACAAAAAGGAGACAAAAAAGGGAGACAGTTAGCTGTCTTACAGAGGAGTATTTATTATAATTAATTAAATTACTTATTTCTTCTTTTTTTTTTTTATTTTTCTCTTTTTGTTGCTGCTGCTGCAGCAGCAAAATCTCCTCTACTGATGGCAGCTTGCTGCTGCTGCTGCTGCTGCTGCTGCAGCAAAAGGGGACACATGCTGCCATGTTCTTAGCTAGCTGGCTAGCTAAATGGCTAGCTAATGGTGTATTCTCCTCCTCCCCTTGTGTAGCTAGCTGGCTAGCTAGCCGGCTAGCTGGCTGGCTAGCTAGCTGGCTAGCTGGTTGGCTAGCTAGCTGGCTAGCTGGTTGGCTAGCTAGCTGTCTAGCTGTCTGTGCAGCAGCAGCTTGTAGCTGCTCCCTAAATAAAGAGCAGCTCTGCTGCTGCTGTTGCTGCTGCTGCTGATGTTGTAGCACCGCCGCATTCTTTGCTGCTGCAGGACGATCCACCTGCTGCTGCTGCTGCTGTTGCTGCTGCTGCTGCTGCTGCTGCTGCTTAATACCTACACATTGTGCCCATATTCTATTAGCCTCTTTACGTGGATAAAGAAGAGAAAGAAAATCAGAGAAAGAAAGATAACCATCACGATCTCTGCATACAAATAAAGCCCCAAATATAATGCATGCAACGAGGGTTTAGGGTTTAGGGTTTAGGGTTTAGGGTTTAGAGGCAGAGAAGGAGATATTGTTTCTTCTTTGCTGGTTGTTTTGCAGAAACAAATCTTCCTGGACTGGAGCCTCATGGTGCAGCACAAACAGCAACAGTAGCAGCAGCAACAGTAGCAGCAGCAGCAGCAGCAGCAGCAGCAGCAGCAGCAGCAGCAACTTTTGTACCTATCGTATCGCCAGAAGAAACACTCAATTTGCTGCATGCTGCA